CTAAACAACAACATGATACAGTATGGAAAGTGCTTGGGATTGTCATCAGAGTCAGAATGTGGAATTTGTAAAGGACAAAATGAAATGGCTGATCTGGTATCCTCATCTTCTCTCATGTATACTGCCGTTTTAGTGGAGAGTCATGTTACATCAGTCAATGAATTTAAAGGTCCTCCAAATGAACTGCTCCACCTTTGATCTTAAATTTGAAATATACGCACAGATTACTCTTTCAATCACACTCCGTATATATACATTATTTTCTGTCTGTGTGGGGAATGTGCTAAAATGCTGACTGAAGTGGAAAACATCTACTGTCAGGAAATACCAAAGCTAACGTTGCACGTAAAAATGTTATTCTGGTGTTGCTAAACGACTGTATAGTAAAACTGCACCATCGGTTATTAGTATTCCAAAAGGAGTTTGCATCGACCCAAAAAATAGTGTCCTCTCAACATGGTGACAGGCTACAACTAACCAAACCCTTCCCTGCCTCCGCTCTGTCTTCTGTTTGAGGGCGTGGTTGGCACATGTGTTACATACTGACGTAGATACATTACGGAAGGAAAGCCAGGAACAGAATCGAGGCATCTCAGGCATTTCAGGAGCAGTGTTTTCTGTGGGAGAAAATAACTCCCACCTTAACATGCACAAAACAGATATTTAACAGTAAAGCAAAAGGAAAACCCGGAAAAGCATAATATGGGAACTTTAAGAGCAGAGCTGATGCTCAGAATGGCAGCCGGATAGCTCCTGACATGAGTAGACTGACTGACTGAAAGAACAGAGCTATGCAGAACCTCCAGAAAAACATTGTTAAAAGTGCCCTATGGCAAGACATTCAGCCACTAATTGTCCCGGAGGAGCTGCTCAGTGTCCAGCAGCGGGACAGTCGTACTGTGAATCATTCTCCCTGCTGCTGTAAACAAGGATGTCTTCTTCAGGAGCCCAGGAGGCAGATGTTTTTAGTCCAAACTGGCCACAGCCACTTTGGATATAACAGGATTTTTTTTAGAAAAGAATAAAAACCTCAAAATTATGTTTTTTTTTTACCTCCACAGTGGTTGGTGCACCAACACACCAGCCAAAATCTACAGCCAGCATTCATCAGTTTCCCTCGCTGCTCTTAATTAAATTGTCTAAATGAGGGTTTAGAGTCGTGCAACTCGGAGAACCCAGTGTAATGAGGTGGTAGTGAGTCTCAGATGGCAGGTAGTCATTACTCTGTGTATGTGTTTGTACTTATGTGTAATTTGATGTTGTTAAAAGTGACCGAAGTAGGCAACGAGGGACGACTGAGCTCCTGAAACATTTTAGAAATTCTGTTCTTTTTTTTTTTGTGTTGTGTTGACCCTCAGTCGTAACAAGGTGAGACACTCAGAATTATAGTACACATACCGACAGACGCGCAAATTCAAACACACACACACGGTTTAAATTATCAGTAAAACATAAAAAAAATTGTGGTGTTAATTATCTCTTAATGTGCGTGTCTGTGCATGTTCATGCATTGATTCTCCTTTTGGTGTTTGTGTGTACATGTATACAAGTGTGTGTGTGTGCCCATGTATCTGTAAAACCACTTCCCTGTTTGTCATTGGTCATAGCTGATGTTGGCAAAAAGCAAATTCATTTATTTCATGGCTCACTCTTCCCTTTGCGACGAAATAGCTGTGTGGGAAAATTGGCCTTTCAGGATCCACTGCAATTCATAGCAAAGTTATCATCACCAGTTAAGTGGAAAAGGCTAAGCGAAGGAAAAACATTCCCGTAAATTAATATGAACTAGTTGCAAACTGAGATATTGAGGTGCACAAATACTATGTTTTCTACGCAAAAAGTAAAAATATGTTTTTTCCACTTCACCTTTCTGGCAGTGGGCAGGATTAAAATTAAAACTTAGTTTGGTCAAGGAATTATAAAGTTGTTCACACTTCAAGTGAGACTACAGTTTACTACAGCTTTTGTCTTATATTATAGTTTTGTCCATCAGTTCTGTCAGTAACAGTAACATTGATTTGACAGCAGTGACGGCAAATTTGATAATAAACATAATATTGCAATATTTCCCACTGTATTTCCCACAGTATGCAATATTTTTATAATGTGTTTTTTCATTTTTTTTTTTTTGCAGTTTTTTTTTTTTGCAGTTTGATAGGGCTGGGGAGTCCAACCCTCATTTCACTGCTTTGCTTACTGTACATTGTAGCTTGGCATGTGACAAATAAAACTTTGAACTGCTGTTTAGTGGCAGCAGCGCTTATACATAAGACATAACATACAAGAATATAATTATATTTTAACCATCCCCCCAATGCAATAATATCATATATTGCAATATTTGGGCTGGACTGTATCGAGACTGCACAGAAAAAGTGCGTACACACAACTACAGGAAATACAGTACTTTTACCTTCTCCTTCATTCTTCTATCAAATATTCGCAGATTCCTTAATATTTGAAACAATAAACACTGACTCTAATTCACAGCTGTAACCTGAACCATCAGTTTGATCACTGATGAAGCATTATGGGTAAAATATTTCTTCAGTTTCAGATTCTCAGTCATTGTTGTCTGCTCACCTTCCTGCTGATAGATGCTCTCTGTTTGTTCTTGGATTGTTTGCTCAGCTCATTAATCTTACAGCTCATAACCTTAGTGCGACTTTAGGAAAATGTACTCTTTGTATCTCGTGTTCATACAGTACATGTATAAATGCAGGCTTTGTTTTCCCGCTCACTCTCACCCGCACGGATTCATGAAGACACTTTAAACTCAGTACATTAATTCTAATGTGAACCGATCAGTTGCTCTTTGATTCCACAAAACTCAGAGTCATCTGAGCAGTAAATGCATGTAGTCGCAGTGTGTGTGCCCAGACGTGAGAACTGAAAGTGAAGCTGAAAAAGCGTCCGTACGCTCACTGCACTCTCTCCGGATCAACAAACTTTAACAACTTAATGAAAGACTAAATATTCCAGCGAGTGAAGGTTTGTTAAGTGTCAGATCTCCTCCTAATGCCTGTCGGCCTTCCTGCCTGTAATGCAGTAATGACAGAGGCTGGGGTTTAACATGGTGTCAAATACAGCCTGTGTCTGCAAATCCACTCGAACATTTTTAATCTGTCAAAATATCTCTGGCTGTCAAGAAATGTTTTCTTTGCATTAGGTGTGGTTGCTGAGAGAGGCAAAGTCTCCAGCGTCAGGCTCATGTTCGGAAGATGAAAACACCACAGGCTGTAACTTTTTTTTTTTCTTTCATACTTAACTTTTTTTAAGCTTCTTCCTGTAAGCATCTCTCTGTCCTTTTATTGTGAACCAATGTTGTTTGTTGTGGGATTATTGCTTTGGTTTTTGAAGCATTTTATTTCTCCTAATATTTAAACGAAACTGTGATTCCCACCAATAATCCAACTTTAACATGCGTGCATATAAAACAAGTAAGAAGCATGCTCTTATGTCCAGAATACAGGAATGTTGCTACAAATGCAGAAGCACAATAATAAAAGCATATAAAGCTGTGCATGTCTGATTCAGTCATCTCCAGCTCTGCAGGCAGTTAAATTGAGGAGAAAGCCTCTGCTTCGTGTCCCACTCCCCATCTAAAACCAATCTATGAATGTCTATGAAAGTGATTTACACATTTTCTGCAGTTTAATCTTACTCTCATGAATTCAAATCACTTCAACCTAAACTCATTTTTTTAAACGCCTTGTCACCTGATGTGCTTCAGATGAAGATACGATTTTCGATTTGTGATTGAAACCAAGTGATGCCAAGAAGTTTAAGCTCCTCCGTTCTGTTGAATGCCTTTGCAGCATCAAAACTCCATTTCTAGAGCTTAGTATTTCATTCGTGCTCGGGCGCTGACATCTCAGTGTAAGCTAAGGCAGAGGGTAAGCAGTTACACGAACATGTCGGGAATTAGCAATAAATGGTTTTAGGGCAATGCCATAATTGTGTGGCTTATCTAAGTGTGAGTTGCATTGACTGTAATGTAATTTTAGTTGACTCATGATATATCACGTACTCTTCTAGTTCAGTTTGACCAGCAGGGCATCATATTGGAGATAATATTACTAGATATTTAACATTCTCCATGCGCCTTCTACTGTAGATTTAATATTGGCCATGAAATGTCACCCTTATCACATCAACATATCCACATCTTCAACGACATTTTCAGTTGACAGTAGGTGCGTTTCCATTAACCTGCTTAATGCGCAATTTGAAATTGTGGACTTACAAACGAGTAATGGAAACGTGAATTTTTCAATTTCAAGCTTTTGCAGGCAGGGTTTAGAACATGAACGTCATCATCCTCCTCCTTTGCCAGCTTGCAGCCAAAAATGCATCTGTAAAAAAAAAAAAAAAAAAAAAAAAAAGTGTCATTAATATTGACAGAAAAGGCGAAAAGCTTGGATGAGATGCACTCAGGTGTCCGGTTTGTTGTTAACCGGACACCTGCGCCTAACTGTGAAACATGCAAGACTGGTCCTAGCAGCCACGGCCATCGCTTTTGTACTGACTTTTGCAGGATGGATACATCGGTAGTTACTGATTGGTCAGGGCAAAATAAACCAAATTACACCCCAAACAAAAAGTCAAGGAGGCTTAATCCCTTCTACAAGGCTTTGATTGATTGAACCATCAATGAACACTGGACCAGACCTTTTTGATTTGCTGAAAAACTCTTGAGATATGGGAAGCAACCAGGAGATGGGGAGCCATGCCAAAGCAGTGTGACCTTTATAATGCTGCCAGCAGTTTTCATTGGAACTACTTTCTTCTCCAGAAATATTCCTGAGTATTCCATGGAGAATTTAATGATCTGCTTAATGTTTGGAAATGTATTAAATTTGGCTTTCTGAAAACAGTTACTGTACATACCCAGAATAACATGCTCATTACCTCGTCAGCGAATCAGAAAAGAAAGCGAGAGGTGCAACAGACTCAATGTTGATCTCTTTCTTTTCTCTCTCTCACTGTCTCTCTGATAGATGAGTTTGGAGCTGAAGGTTTCTCAGGCCCTGGCCCCTCCCACGGAGGATCCTTCAGGGGAGGTCCTCCCTCCCAGCCCTATGACGACCAGGACAAGAGTTTGGGTCCAGGTCCCGCCCCAGGGATTGGGTTTAGTCCAAGTCCAGGAGCGGGGCCATCGGGTCCCCCCACCACCAGCTTCAACAACATCCACATCCCACCAGGCGCCCACGCACCAGCCAACACTCCAGCTGAGCTTCCTCCACCCACAGGTATGAAGCACAGAGATGCTGTTTGTAGCTTTTAGCCACGCTAGCATCAGGACTGCTGGGATCACCAGTGCGGTCCAAAGTGAAATATCTTGAAAGCTATTGGAGGGAAGGCCATGAGAGTTGGTTTAGACATTCGTCTTCCCCTCAGGATGAATTGTAATAACTTTGCTGAACTTCTGACTTCATCAAGTGCCACGTGTATTCTTGTTTATGACCACATAGCCGCAAAACCAGGATTTTATTAGTGCTTAGCAAATATTGGCAGGCTAACACGCTAACCTAAGATGGTGAAAATGGTAAACATTATGCCTGCTAAATATCAGCATGTTAGCTTTGTCACTATGAACGTGGTGACATTAGCCACTAGCATGACAGTAGACTATCCTTATCTGGTGTTACGTCCGTAAAGTTAATGATTAAATGATGCATTATAACAGTAGCACTATAAATGCAAGAATATTTTATGAATTCTTTTAGAAAAAGTGAAGCTGAAACGAGTCTTCAACCACATTTTACGGACATCACAAAGAGTAAAAGGGACTGCTTTTTTGTTTTCAAGTCTTACTTTTCAAGAAAGTAACAACTTCTCTGTGTGGTTTCCAAGTGCATGAAGATCTTTTCAAATTTCATTCAGTCCAACTTTTGACTGCAGCTTGATTTAGGAGAAGAATTGAAAACGAAACTTGGGGCTTCTGTTCCAAAAGTAACAATGGTAGAAATAACAGTATGTTGTGTCCATATGTTTAGATTAGATTGTGAATAAACACACAATCTTATATGATTGTTTGTTCAGGAAGAGTAGCGACTGTTACAGTACAGTGGCTAATGGGGATCCAACTAAATAAATGAAGTAAATATTCTGTATTTTTGATGGTAGCTGCCTTGAATGAACCCCATTTCCCATAAACCCTAGAGCATCACGAGCTAAACATCATGGCTCATTAGCAGAGGCGAGTCCGTTGACGAGTCGAGGGGTCATGGTTAGTTCACGTCTATGATAACAACAGTTACAGAGAGGACTGAACGCTGTAGAAGATTTTACACAGCAGAGATTACAACTGGAAAAAACAAAAACAAACAAACGTTATTGAGACAGTGTTGGTGGATATTATGGATATGGACGACACCTCGTTCCCACGATGATGCCAGTATCTGCAGCGTCACACTGGTTGATATTAATGGGAGCTGTAGGCCTCAGGAACAGGTTTCATTTGCTCAGAAAGACTGAAGAAAGAAATGCAGAGTGAGTTACAGAAGCTGGTGGAACAGAGGCTGATACTGATTGGTGGACAATACTTGCTCCTCTTTTTCAAAAGAAATACACCTGCTGAGTGGAGACTCAGAGACAAACATCAGAAGGACAAACAGCTCCAGGTCCAGCTGTGATTCACTGACTGGATTTCATCTGAAACTCCATGGAAAAAAGGATATGCGTTTGACAAGATATTACTGTGACACACACAGTGATAGAAAAAAATTACAATAATAATACAACCACTACTGAAGTGGTGTTTCCAGCCTGCCATTTATCTCTTGATTAGTTATTGTCTAACATTCTTTACTTACCAGCCTTTCTTATCGTTTTCCTTGTAATCCCTGTTTCTCACTAATTTCCCCTGATAACACTGAGTACATGATGGCCTTACAATCCTCTGGCTCACAACACTCCTCCTTTAGAGACTACCTCACACGCTCAACAACAAGTGCTCTGAGTGTATGTGTGTGTGTGTGTGTTGATGTTTGTCCTCTGGAGGATGTTCGGATGTTCGGATGTTCGGATGTTCGGATGTTCGGATGTCATCTGTGGCCAGATTTCACTCCTGCAGCAGAGTCTGTGTAACGTTCAGCTGTAATTGTGATTACTGGGAGGTTGATATAAAGATATTGAGTAATGCAAAGTGTGTGTCTCTGCATGTGCACACTAGAAGACTTAATTGCCCCCCTGTGGTAAATCAGTGTGTCAAGACAAAGGGTTATATAATGCAGTCTTCTGCCTCCTCCTGAAGTCATGTGCACGGATGAGAGGAAATTTTGTTTTTGTTTCCCATGTCGACAAAGTGCAGTGGTCAGTGTGAATGGGGTTTACACACACACACACACACACACACACACACACACACACACACACACACACAGAAATCAAGTCATTTAGAGTAGGTATGGATTACACAAGAGCACAAAGCATTGGCAACAGAAAAACGCAGTTTCCCACACACACACACACACACACACACACACACACACACACACACACACACACACACACACACACACTCATATTGTTGGCTGTTGCCTGGCCGCTACTCAGTCACATGTTCCTGCTTTAAGGAAGAAGAAGTAAATAAAATGAGTGAGAGAGGTTGACCTTGGTGCTCGTCCAGTCACCGACAGACGAGGTGTGTGTTCCCTCCCTGTGAGTGCTGCTGATAGTGAAGGACTGTTATCGATCACACGAGAGCGGTGGGATTGTTGAAGTGTTGGCTTCAATGTGTGGGAAAGAGAGACGGGTGTGTGAAGGAATGTGTTTGATTTCAACATAAACTTTGTTTAGGTCGTGTTCGTACCGTCTCTGTCTTTGAAAATCGAATTATTTTTAGCTTTTATTTTAAAAAAATCTTAATATTCAATGATGGTTTTTCGTTGAATGATAAACAGCATGTGAAATCTGATTTAATCCAAAAATCTGGGCAAAGTACAAACAGTTCAAATGTTTGTCCATTTTTGGAATCACTTTTCATGAGTGGAAACATATTCTGATGTTTTCTTCCTGCAAGAGAAGCTCATTTATAGTGTCTTCTTGGAGCAAGAAAACTTAACAAAGAAATCAGTGTAACCCTTTAACGAGTTTGAAATAAGTTTGAAAATGACATTCCCAAAATGTACAGCTATGGTCCTTGGAACTATTTTTGTTATAGTTATGATCCCGGTCTGAAAGGGAACTCATAAGATCTACAGCAAGTGCCACTGAACCAAATGTATGAAGATTATAGTTTTTACTGTAATTCTACACTTGTTTATGTATTCTTGTTAGAAAATGAGCACCTGTTGTCACAGTGAGATCATGTAGAGATTCTCGAGGCTGAGTTTGGATGCAGGCAGGTACCACCTTAAATCATGTAACTCCTTATGTCCAGTGTGAGCCTCTTAGAAGTGAAGCATCTCCCAGTAGTCTGTTCTTCAGCTGACACATTTCTTTTTTGTTTTTGTTTTTGGAGACTTTTTTTTTTCTAGAAGTCAAGGACACACGGTGTCACATGTCGTACAGATTATAAAGCCACCAGAGGCAAATTTGTGATGTGTGAAATTGGGCTGCATAAAAAAAAACAAAACTAATTCGGCTTGACGTACGATCGATGTGCAGATACTGCTTTAATGAGTTAGTAGCGTTTCCCTGTTTCACAGACTTCATATGAGAAGTGACAGAGACAAACAAGTAAAGCTGCTTTTTCTGCTTGTACGTGAAGACAAAGTCAGTAACCGCTCAATCGATTGTCAATAAATATTGGCATTTCTACACATTCACACACATATTTCACATTTCCGAAAAAAAATGATTAAAGAGACTTGATACATAATCCAAGTCCTCCACATTAAAAGGCCAAAACACACCTTTGTGGTTGAGGTTTAGTTGGGCTCAGGCACAGAAAAGACTTGGTCAGGGTTAGAGAAGGATCCTGGTTTGGGTTCAAATGGCTTAGTTTTTACTATTTATTACAGTTTATCCAAATATGTGTTTTACAAGTGACCATTAATCGTCTTATGAGGACTCATAATGTAGCTGTTAGTGTTTATTATTTAGTATCTATCATAATTGAAGTGTTTCTGTTGACCAGCAGAAGGAGTTAAACCCGTGCCTATGCCCCGCACAGTGCCCACTGTTGACCCCACACTGCTCAGCGCCCAGCAGCAGGGTAAGAACACACACACACTTTCTCCTTTCTCTCTCTTCACTTTTTTGAATTCTCTAAAACCTGATCAAGACGTCTGCAGCTGCTGGTGACAAAGAGGATTAACATACTCCACCAGCCCTGCGATCTCTGCAGTGGTATCCAGTCTGCTATGGATCTGATTTTTAAAATGCTGCTGCCGTTTCTGCCGTTTACGGCCAAACTTCATTTCGTACAACTCTTTAGCCCCGTGTGCTCATGTGAGACCTTTCTGTTCCTACTGTAAAAACAAAAAACCTGACGCTGTGCATAGTTGGAACAAATTCCTGAGACTGATCCCAAACTCTGACAGCCTTTAAATCCACCTTAAAAACCTTTATTTTCCCTCATGGCCTTTATGAAACTTTCACTTCTTTTCTTTTAATTCTCTATTTCTTTTTTTAACGTTATACCGTCAGACAAAATCCACTCTCTCTCTCTCCGTCTCTCCATCCACTGTGTTTATTTGTGACAGAAGTGTGTATGACTGAATACAACAGTCTTTATATTATGTCATGAGTCTGCATTTCTGCATGCATGCAAACATATATACAGTATATTTTTTGTTTAACATTTCTCCATCATGAACTGGATTATGAACATTTTCTCATGTTGATGTCATCACAACAAAAGCAACCTCTATGACTCAGAAACTAAAACTTAATTAACTTCAGCTGAAGGTTCTGTGCCCCCACTTTTCCATGCACAGTTTGTGTATTTTGCGTTTCACGGCATCGTACACTTTTTGACAACGGGTTATGACTGTCCAGTATTTAAGGTGGTTTGTAGAAAAGACAGGTCCAGTCCTTCCTGGGTGGTCTTTTGAAGTCCACTTTGAAGTCATGATAGTATTTTGAGGACACCTGTGAGCTGAACTCTGTTGTTTTCCAAGCTGGAACAAGGACAAAGTGTGTAACGAGGAGAAGGAGGCAGACAACAATAAAGAGGCCAGATACAGAGAGTGGATCTTGGTATTGAATCTGAACGAAATGTTTCCTTAGTTCCTTAGTTAGTGGGTCAAATGTCTGATTAGATTTGTAATTTGACTTATTCTTTAATCAGATACTTCCTGATTGGAATCATAATCTTGCCAGTTTTGGATTGTGTTAAGTTTTTGTACAGCTTGTGTATGTTCCTCAGAGTAAGGGACTGGAAAACAGTATCACTCTGTAACCTCCATCAAAGCTTGATAACGAATCTTGTAGAACCATCATAAATTAAGAACACAGGAAGTAACACACCTAAGCTGATAGAACTGTTATGAACAAGCTACAAGGAAAGTTTTCCATGTGTAGACCGCAGCTTCATTTGACTCAACTTCATAAACTTGTAACTACAGCCTGAGACGCAGCCCCCCCCCCCCCCCCCCCCAGCAGCATTACCTGCAGCTGATGGAGGAGATGACCGATATCATCGCAATATTGAACACTGTCATCACGCATTGCAAATTTTTCCTCATGTCATGCAGGCCTAACATATATACATATATGTATATATAATCTATTACCATAAGTATATGTAGCTCTATAGGGGTAAATTATAAAGTTTTAAATAAAGACTAAAGATGTTGCTTTGTCAGCACTTCCTGGATTAATGATAGTAGTCATACTGCAGTTCTTCAGCTGGATACTGCACATACAGGAGGATTTCAGATACATATGGCACATTTATTTGGATACAGAGATTAGTATGCGTACTCAGCAGAACTCTTAACTGGATAAATAAGGTGAAATGAATAATTCACCCTCTTTTCAAGATGTGATTCAAACTTAACTGCAAAGTCAATGAAAGAGGAAAAAGCAGCTTTTTCCTTTCATCTCAGCAGGCGCGTCCGATAAACTGTGTGATGCGGGCAATTACACTTTTGCCCGATAGCTGATACAATTAAAATGATAAAAGGCCTTTTTGAGGAACACATTAAGCCTCAGTCCACGCAGATAAATGAAAAAAAACTCTGGCTCTTAGCACTCCATTAACACATGTGAACCAGCCAGAAAAGAAGAGGCAAATGAGGCAGTAAGCATGTGTTTTCTGTGCAGCTGCAGCTCTGAGTGTCTCCTCTGCATTTTCTATTCACGAGAAGTATAATGAAACTTTACATTCATTCAGTCAGCAGAGCTCTCTCAGCCGGGCCTCCTTCTGTAAGTCCACATGAGAGATAAAGCAGAGCAACAGATATGAAAATACTTTGAAATACCATCTATCTTTAACCCCTTTACGAAATCAGCTACATTTAATATTTTTCATTGTAAACTCCGGAGATGAATATGAAGGATGTGAGACACCGTATTTTGATTTTAATGTTATATGCAATTATTATTATTATGATTACCAAATATTCTTTTTGAAAATGACCACAATGACTGAGATGAGTCTTCTGTATCTGTATGTTCTACTGTGTGTTCTTGCTCGCCTCTGCAGTAAGCCAGTTCCAGTAAAGACTGAAAGTTCAAGTTCAAGTTTTAGTGCATTTTAAATGTTTTTTTTCTTTTTTTCTTTTATAAAGGCTTTCGGGAAAAAAAAAAAACTCAGTCATTTAAGAAATGGTAATGACAAAAAGTAAGATTTTGAGCTGAAGTTTAGAAAACCTTTTGTGCTGCTCAACCATTGATCCTCGAAATAATTACCAGCTGTGACAGCCGGGCTGCTATTGTTTTCACCTTGTGTGTGTGTGTGTGTGTGTGTTTCTGTCATAGGCTATGACAAGTCTCAGACAAAAGACTAGTAAATTGGAGATAACTTGTCCAACTGGGGACAAAGGTCATGTCCCCAACTGGGGAAAAAAAAAAGATTTCTGGGTCAGTGGTTAAATTTAAGGTTAGGATGAAGCAAGTAGTGGTTATGATAAAGTTATAATAAAGCTATGGTTAGGGTATGTCTACAGGAAATGGATGCAAATATATGAAATCTCCCCAAAAGTACTTTTATAGACATTTCATAGACTAAAAGATTAATGAAGACAGTAATCAACAGATTGATCAATAGTTGTTAGTTTCAGCCCTTGGTTAGCTGCAAGGTTTTAAAAAGCTTTCGTGTTACATAAAATGGCATCTTCACAAAGACCCAGTGTCGGCTTTCACTTGGATTAAATACCAAAGGGTTCCCACATCAGAGATCAGCAACTCAGCACCGCTGCAGTTTAACAGTTTAACCCCCTTGACCAAATAGAATTGGACTGATTCAGGGGTGGTTACTTGTCAGCCTGTCTGCTAGGGTAAGAAAACTGGTGTCACCCAAGATCCATTGATGGTCTTTAGCATAATTCTCTCGTTCGATTGAGGATCTTTGGGTTGGACAAGTCTGACATTTTACAAACTAAACAGCATCAATTAACCATTAAATGATTGCAAGATGAATCGATAATAAAGAATAAAGTAAGTTGCAGTTGTAGTTATTACATTATTACATTTGTTCTGACACAGCCTGCTGAGAGCTGATTGATTTCTCTTCACGACAGTTGTTTGTTTGTTGTTTTTTTATCTCATATGATTATGTGGCCTTTTTAAACACAACTGTGCAGGTCATCTTTTTATTATTACCACCTTTTTAAATACTCCCTCTCCAAACCTCCCTCTCTCCTCTCTGGCTGCCTCCTGTCTCTTTGCTGACTTTTTCACTTAATTTTTCCGCTGTTTTCCCTCCTCCTCCTCTCAGACTCTTCCCATCATTGGGAGTGTGCAGTCAGCATATTCACCAGTCTTTTCCAGCTTTTTGGAGGAGAAGAGAAATCAGCCAAGGGATTAGGGTCTTATGGTGCAATATCATTCAATCATTTTTTTCCTGTTCTTCTCCAGGACAGTTTTAAGAGCAGAGGACCATGTTTTATGATCGTTATGAAGCCAAGAGAGGCATTATCTGTTGCTCTGTTCTTACTGCCCGCTCTGATTCTCAAAGAGGAGTCCAGGGATCCTCGGAGGTCCTTTATGGGGTCTCACCATGTTAGCATGAAAGTTAAATAATAATTTGGTGTCATTATTATTTCATGTCCGAGATGTTAAATCGTGAGAGAAGCATTGTCTTGTGGATCTTTCGATTTATCCCCACTGTTTCGTGGCAGGAAAAGTCAAGTTTTTAACCACTGCCTGCTGTGGTTAGTGCAGCCCAAAATATACCAGGGACTTCACCACTTAACCAGTCAACAATCAGAATCACAAAGGAGATCCAAGTGATAGTTTGGTGGTAGCTGCCCATCAACCAGGGTTAAAATTACACCATCCTCTTTAATTCAGCAGCTCAGGACAGTTTACTTCACTTTCAAACTGAAGGTTCAGAAACAGGAAATACCCAAAGGTTTCCATGTCAAGTTAGCGAGTGTATTTGTGAAGCTAGGCTATCTGTAAAAGTTCTATAGTCAATTTGGGTCATTTGCCTGGTTTTGTTTTCAGTTTGTTTGCACCTTTTCTCATTTTACTCCTCAGATCTGGAAGACATTTTTTTTGTCTTTGGGAACACTGATCACTGGACGGTTTTGCTTTATTCTCAGTAAACCTTTGAAACAGTTGTGTGTGAATCATTCATGGTGGAAGCCATTTAAGAGGTTCTAGAATAATTACGTAGCACTCAAAGTCACTAAAGTCACTGGTTTTGGCCCAGTCCAACACTCTACTGAACTAAAGCTACGTCCACACTACTATGTTTTAGTTTTAAAACGCATCTCTTTTGCTACATTCACACCTGGCGTCCATGCTACCCTGGAGTTTTTGGAAACTTGTGGTAATGCTGCTGGACCTGTTGTAGTTTGAAAACTCAGAGGTTGCGTTGTAGTGTGGACGGGCAAAAGTTGAGACCTTTGGAAACAACATGGCATAGACACCCGCCTTTCTTCCTGATTGGGTCTTATTGGTTGTGACTAAGCATGTTGAAAGCAACATGGATAACATCCTCGTTCGTAGTATTTTCTGCAACTACCCAACTGCATGAATGTCCGTGTGCACGAATGTTGATGTGATATGCCTTTTCAGGAGTGATAGCATGGACAGAGATCA